TAATCTGTATGCTGAGTCAGTAATCTGAAAAGCTGGACTGTATGAAGAAGAATGTGGCATCAGTATTGGAGGAGGACTCATTAACAAGCTGCAAAATGACCATGGCACAACTTTGCTTGCTGAAAGCAAAGAGAACTTGAAGCACTTAACTGATGAAGATCAAAGACTAAAGTGGATTGTTGTTGTTGTTGTATGTCATCGAGTCGGACCCTACTCATAATGACCCCTCCTTGGGTTTCCGAGGCGGTATCACTACAGAAGTAGATTGCCCAACTTTCCTTCCGAGGAGTGGCTGGTGGGTTTGAACCGCCAGACTTCTGGTTAACAGTCAAGTGCCTAAAGTGCTATGCTACCAGAGGATTACACCTTAACATAAAGAAAACAAAAATCGTCACAGCTACACCAATAAGCAACATCATGAAAATGGAAAAAAGATTGAAGTTGTCAAGGATTTTGTTTTACTTGGATCTACAATCAGTATCCATGGAGGCAGGAGGCAGGACATACTGCATTGGACAGATGTGCTGCAAAAGACTTCTTTAAAGTGTTAAAGAGCAAAGATACCAGTTTGAAGACTGAGGCGCACCTAACATAAGCTATGGTATTTTCAGTCGCCTCATATGCATGTGAAAGCTGGACAAAGAATAAGGAAAACTGAAGAAGAATTGATGCATTTGAATTACGGTGCTGGTGAAGAATATTGAACATACCATGGACTGCCAGAAGAACATACAAATCTGTCTTGGAAGAAATACAGTCAGAATGCCCTTTAGAAGTGAGGATAGTGAGAGACTTTGGACATGTTGTCAGGAAGGACCAGTCCCTGGAGAAGGACATCATGTTTGGCAAAGTTAGAGGATATATAGAGAGAGGGAGAGAGAGAGAGAGAAAGAGAAAGAAAGAGAGTATATATGTAGTACAGTACATATATAACCTAAAACATATGTCTTGATAGTCATAATAAATGCTTATGTTACTGGCTTATGTATATACTGTACTGTACTTTCTATCCAAAAAGTTTACTGTATTAACAGTGTATGCTTTGGCTTGTAGGCAGCAGCATACAATCTCATGTATTGCATGTCTCTTGAGTGTTGTAGAGTTATCACTCTGTTTAATTTTCTTTCTAAAATATTACTGTGAAGTTCATCATGGCTCCCAAATGCAGCAAAACCAGTGCTAATGATAGCAGCAGCCAGAGGCAAAGGAGAAGCATCAGTTTGGAAGTGAAACAAAAGGTTATTAAACAACACAAAGGTCGAAAATCAGTGAATGCTGCTGCTCATCTTTTAGGCATGTCACACGGAACAATCCTCAAAAACAAAGCAAATATTCTCCAAGCTGTTAAGGGATCAGATCCACTGAAAGCTACAAGGCCAAGGAAAATGTGAGAGGGACCTTTATCAGGTATGGAGAAATTGCAGTGACATAGATTGAAGACCAAACACAGAAGCAAATCCCTCTTAGCACATTGATGATCATAGCTAGGGCACGAAGTTCATTAAAGATGCTTAAAGAAAAAGCAGGACCAGACTGCAAATGGTGTTTGCACAATATCCAAGTCACATGATGCACTGTTTCACAGAATGAGTCATGGACATTAAGTGACACATGACTGTATAGTGCTTCTTGTTGTTGTGTGCCATCGAGTCAATTCCAACTCATCGTGACCCTGAAGGACAGAGTAGAACTGCCCCATAGGGTTTCCTAGGCTGTAATCTTTATGGAAGGAGCCTCAGTGGTGCAATAGTTATGTGCTTGGCTGCAAACCAGCAGGTCAGCAGTTTGAACCCACTATTAGCTCCACAGGAGAAAAGACCTGGTGATGTGTTCCTTGTAAAGATTACATCTTAAGAAGCTCTATGAGGCTGTTCTGCTCTGTTCTAAAGGGTTGCTGTAAGTCGGAATTGACTTGACAGAACACAACAACACAAAATCTTATGGTAGCACATAGTCAGGTCTTTCCTCCCTCAGAGTGGCTGGTGGGTTCAAACTGCTGACCTTTCAGTTAGCAGCCAGTAACTGTTGTCCCACAAGGGCTCCCCCCATATGGTGCTTACTGTGTGCCAGATACTAATTCATTTAATACTTATAATACCAACTTGTTAAAGGTAGAACTGTTACTATCATTTTCATTTTACATGTAAAGAAACTGCAGGATAGAGTGATTTAGTGGTTTTCCCCAGGCCACACAGCAAGCGGTAAAACTGCAATTCAAAACTGAGTGGTCCGGCTCTAATATGTATACACTTAGCAACTATATTACACCCCGTTGCATTGGTGACTTTTTTTTTTTTTTTTTTGATCAGTCTTGTCAAAGCTTTGCCTATTTATTGGCAAATTTATTGATCCTCTCTATTGCATGTTTGTTGCCTATTTTATCCCTCTGCTTCGGTAGCGTAGTGCCTAAGGCATTTGACTGCTAACCAGAAGGCTGGTGGTTCAAACCCACCAGCCACTCCTTGGAAGGAAGGTTGGGTAATTTTCTTCCGTAGTGATACTGCCTTGGAAACCCAAGGAGAGATCGCTATGAGGCGGATCTGATGCGATGGCATTCCTTTTTTTTTTTTTTTTTGGTGCTCTTATCTTATTAATTCCTTTCTTCTATTCTCTCTGGGTATATTTTTCCTCTTCTGACTTTTTAAGTTAAAAGTTCAACTCTTTTCTTTCCAGCCTGATTAATAAAGCTATAAATTTTCCTCTAAATATTGCTTTAGCTGCAACCCCAGAGTTTAGGTTTGGAATATTTTTGTTGTAATTCATAAGTCTAAGTAGTTTCTGATTTCCATGTTTCTTTGACCCTTAAGCTATGTGTTTTTAAATTTAATAGATATTCTTTTCTAAAAAATATGTCTTGCTTTATTGAGTAGTAATTTAATTGCGCTTTGATAAGAGAATGTGATCTGTGAATACCTATTCTCTGCAATTTGTTGAGATTTGTTTATGGTCTATTGCCAAAGGGACAGGGAGGTGCCATCTTCTGACCTTTTCTAACCCCACAAGAGGAAGACAGAATCACCATCAGTAGCCCAAGGCCTATTCCTGCAAGGCCAGACATGCCTCCCTCCAGCCCTTTCATCAACCCTGACACCAACCGTTCCTCCTGCAGCATCCACCACGTCTCTGCTGGGTTCAATAATTCACTGTGGTGGCCACACAGAACTCTCAGATTATGGGATTTATTAGGGAAGTTCAGGAACACGCTCAGTCTCTCTCAGCCTGCCATCTCTCAGCCAACAGTCTCTCTCAGTCTCTGGTCCAGCAGCATGTGTCTCTCATGTCTCTCTCTGAGCAATGCACATCTCTCATGTCTCTCAGCTGGCAATGAGAGATTTCTTCTGCTTCTAGGATGGCTCCTTTTGAGCCTGGCAGAGTGACTAAACTAATCAATCCCAACATCAGAATTCTATACACCTGACAGAGAGCAAACTTCTCAGAAGATTGCTTTGTGCCACTCCCAACAGAAATACCCCAGGTGGATAACTTTAACAGTCAGGAGCTACTCAGTTGCTCACAGCAAATTCCACCTAGAAATTTACAGACTTATGGCTAGAAAAAGCCACACTATGTAATTTACTACACCACACCTATGAATGATCAATTTTCAAAAACATTAATGATGTTTAACCTATTCATCTATCAATTACTATGAGAGAATTATGAAAATCTCTCAATTTGATGTGCATTTGTCAACATGGACTTGTGGGTTTTTTGGGTTTGGTTTTGCTTTAGACATTTCAAAGCTATTTTGAAGACTTTTTGCCTTACAGTCTATTCTGCCTGATATTAATATAGTCTACCAGCATTATTTTGGTTAGTATTTGCCTCGTATATTAAAGGGAGCTGTTATGGTTACCTAGTGCCACTCTGACAAGAATGGCCTTAACATGGGATGGCCTTAACAAACAGGAGTTTATTTTCTTACAGTTCAGGAGGCTGGAAGTCTGAGTTCAAAGTGCCAGGCTCTAGGGGCTGGGTGAAAGCCCCTCAACCTTGGGCTTCAGCTCTGCCTCTTGCTCCCGGTCCACTGAAGCTAGAGGCATCTCTTCACTCAGTAGCTACTGACTGCTGAGGCTAACAAGCCCAGGGTCAATAAATAAAATGGCACAGACCCAATGTTACCAAACCACACAGCAGGCTATTAATTCAAGTCCATCCTAAGTCCCAAGGTCAGCAGGGCATGGCAGGCTGCTGAACAACATCATGGCTACATGCAGGGTCCAAGCATGCCACAAGGTAGAGACCATTCCCCAAAGCTTCTCCTTATATACAGGAAACAGACCATATCCCTAAGGCAGCTACTCAGCTGCTCACAGTAGATTTACCATGGAGGTGATTACCAGTCTCATCATAGGGAATACTATATCCAGCTGCCCAACCACTCAACCAGGCCCAGCCAAGTTGACCCACAAAGTTAACTACCACGGGAGCTCTGGTGGCCTAGTGCCTAAGGCATCTGACTGCCAACCAGAAGGCTGGTGGTTCAAACCCACCAGCCACTCCTCAGAAGGAAGATTGGGCAATCTACTTCCATAGTGATACTGTCTCAGAAACTCAAGGATGGGTTGCTATGAGTCAAATCAACTTGATGGCAGTGAGTTTTTAGTTTAGTATATTTAAGTGGTTTTACATTTGCTTCTGCCATGATCCCAGGGGATTCATTGGTATCCAACCAGATTTTAGGTAAATTTCTTCACTTGTATTTACGGAACCATGTGGATAGTGTGGATAGTGTTATACAGCCTGTATGTATATAATAGCTACAAGTGTCTATTTTGCAAAGGATTAAAAAACAATTGTCTCGTCTCCCTTCCCTTCAGAGTCTAGAGCAGGCAGCAAGCTTCCTTGCTGCATCTCTGGACTGGTGTTGAGCCTTTTCTAGATTCCTTTTCATGAACTGTGAAACCCTTTGACAGACTGTTTTTAAAGTGACACTCTGTGTTTTGAATTTTATAGAAAAATAAAGTTTATTTTCATTTTCCCATTTGGAATTTCTGCAGCAAACTTACATCTTACCATGACTCTTGTGCAGCCTTGGCCAACTATTCCAGATGTTATGCCTTGTTTTTGAATCTGATAAACAAATACCAGAAGAAGCAGGTCAGTTCTTCATGCCTTTAATTCTTCAGTATGTCTGTGTATTAGTGTATCTGTGTAAGCTCCTGTGGAATAGCTATATATTTTGAATATACAGGTTTCTGTTAGAAGCTTCCATTAAATTTGGTGTTTAGAAATGGAACAGGCTGTCCCAGCAGGCAGTGAGCGACCAGTGGGAATTGGGGGAAAGAGTAGTTTGAGATCAAAATTGCCTAAATCAGATACTGTAGTGGAGTCTTGCATTAGAGAGGAGGGTGGATGGCCCCCATCCCTGGTTAAAAAGGGAAGAAACGTTTCTAGGCTCTACACCCCAGCTGGGCCTACTGAGTCAGGTGAGTGAGGTGGGGTCTGGTCATCTGTATTTTAACAAGAACCACAGGGGCTTCTGATGCAATCTAAAGGTTGGGGTCCCCTAAATAATGCACTCAGCTGCTGTTTGAAAGATTGGCAGTTTGAGTCCAGCCAGAGGCACATCAGAAGAAAGACCTGGCAATCTGCTTCCATAAAGAAAAAAGACCCCAGGGACTGCTCTATTCTGTAAGACATGGGGACGCCATGAGTTGGAACTGACTCAATGGCAATGAGCTAACTTGGGTCATGGAAATATGCTTTGGAAGTTGTGTAGTCCTTTAACATACGTAGCTATCACAAAGTGATTAAACAGTTAGGATGCCAGAATACCTCATCTCTGTTCTGAATGGTTAGTGTTGCCAGTCTTGAGCTTGTGAAGTACCTATGCACTCAGCATAGATTTTCTTTTTCTTAGATCATTTTTAAATAATATCATGTTTGTGGATTATGTATGTCAAAGAACATAGAAACAAAAATCTGTGAAACAAGAAACACATGAAAGAAAGAACCCCTCTTTAGTCATGAATGAAGGAGCTCTGGTGGTGTAGTGGTTAAGACATGTGCTGGCTAATCAGTAGGTCAGCAGTTTGAAACCATTAGCTGCTCCATGGAAGAAAGATGAGGCAGTCTGCTTCCATAAAGATTTACAGTCTTGGAAACCCAGTGAGGGTCTCTATGAGTCAGAATCGACTTGATGGCAGTGAGTTTAGTAATAAATTAAATGTCATCTACACACCTCTTTAAACGATCTTGCCAAGCCTGGTGAGGAGCTTCACCGGATGTGGCTGTGGCCAGTAGCTTCCTCAGTCCCCTGTGAGTGAAATTCTGCTTTGAACCAGTATCACAGGACTGACTGCTGTTGGGAGTGGTAAAAGTTCCTCCCCCATCCGTTGTTGTTTCCCATTAAAAAATGTTTCTATGAGTAGAAAGAAAAAAAATATCTAAGAAAATACCAAAGGTAAAAACTTTTCCTGTTGTTGTTCTTATTTGTAGTTAATTCTCCTCAAGGAAAAGTCTGACTTCAGCAAACAAGAATGGGTCTTTTGTACTGCACTTAATCTATCTCTATTAAGTCAGTCAATAATGATGATAAAGGAGGCTTTTGTTTTTATTTCTATGTATCTGTGTTGTTAAAATTATTTAGAAGGAATGTGGATTTATAGTAATTTTTAGAAAGCAATATTACAAAAGCCAACATCAAGGGGGTGAGATTTACAATCCTTTCTTGAATTTAAATCAGTGGCTCTCAAACTTGACTTATCACAGAATCAGCTGGGATCACAAACACAGATTCCCAGGCCCTGCTTGAGGCATTTTACCAGATCTCTTGCCCAGTAGATATTTACAAAAGAAATGGGGCCTGGTTAATACCTGAATCACCTGGGATCACAAACACTGCAGCCCAGGCCCTGCCAGGGAGGTTTTGATTCTGGTGTGGAATGAGGTCCAAAAACCTGTTTTTAAGAAGATCCTCAAATGATTCAAATCAGCAGCCAGGTTTGGGAATCTATAGTATAAATTATTAAGGTAATTCCTTAAAATAATTGTTTCTCCATTATTGAGAACAGAAAGTTTTCTACAAAACCTCAAGAGACTTTAGAGAGATTAATCAAATCAGCCACACAGGGTCAGTCTTTCTCCACAGTCATGTGGCTGAAAGTGAATCTTCCTGTCAGAGTAGGAACCAAATTTTCAAGCAGGCCAGGTATAGTGAAGGTGTCCAGGTGAGTGGTGATAACTGCACACCTTTTGCAGCTGAGGGGTGCTTTCATAGCTGAAGAAAATGCAATAATATATTAGACTCTTCCATGAATTTCTCTGTCAAACTTGTGCCAAAACAAGCAGTCCTAGAACCAAACCCACTTTGATAACATGCTAGGGCATTGAAGGTTCGAGACTCTGGTCAAGGTAGGCCTTTCTGGAGAGGCACGTGCGTACATACAGGGCCTTCTCCCGTGGGACCCCCAGTTCTGCCTCTTGCAAGGAAAGCATGTTAACCTTACTCAGTTATCCAGACAAACCACAAGTTGTTGACTCTTTTGTTAGTGAAACAAACCCAAATCAACTGCCCTCAAGTCAATTCCAACTCATGGTAACCCTATAGAAAAGAGTAGAACTGCCCCATAGAATTTCCAAGGCTGTAATCTTCATGGAAAGGAGCTCTGGTGGTGTAGTGATTAAGGCATTTGGCTGTTAATCAAAAGGTCAGTGGTTTGAATCCACCAGCTTCTCCCCAGAAAAAAGATGGGGTGGTCTGCTTCCATGAAGATTTACAGCCTTGGAAACCCAGTGGGGGTTGCTATGAGTCAGAATGGAATTGCTGACAGTGAGTTTGGTGTTTTTTCTTTGAATCTCCATGGAAGCAGACTGCCACATCTTTCTCCTGCAGAGTGGCTGATGGGTTTGAACCATTGACCTTTGGGCTATCAGCTTAGCACTTTAACCACTGCACTACTAGGGCTCCTTTTTAGTGCAACAACCACCAACATTTTTTCTTAAAAGAATCACCAAATATTCCTGAAGATGTCCTGTTTTGGGAAAGTTCAGTATACTCCATATCTAAACTTTGTAAATTTGAGAGTGATTAGTGATAAACCGGAGTCCTTGAGTGGTACGACTGTCAATGAGCTCTGCTGCTAACCGAAGGGATGGTGATTTGAGTCCACACAGAGGCATCTTGAAGAAGGGTCTGGTGACCTGCTTCCGAAAAACCAGGCATCTAAAGCCCTCTGACACACATGGAGTCACCACGAGCGGGAATCAACGTGCTGGTAATGGGTAGTGGCAAATTATTTTTGAAGTTAACGATATCCTTTCACTAGCTACCTTTCCTAGTTAATTTCAAATAAAATACGATTCCATTTACAAAACTTCTCTGTGCACACAGTCGTTCGGTGAAATCTGCCTCTGTGTGTATGTGATGGTTGTGGTACACAGCCTGGGGTATCTGGTTCATCAGCAGTCTCGGAGCAAAGGAAGCCACTCCTCCCAGCTCTCATAAAGGCCTTACGCAGGGAGAACAAGGGAAACTTCTTTGGCTTGCGTCTGTGAGGTTAATTTGTCCACGATTCACGGTATAACCAGACCCATTTTCCATACACACAAAAACACAGTGTTTCAGTCTGTTTGATTCAGGCTGAAAGCAAAACTTTTGCATTAGGTAAAGTATTTGTTAAAAATGCTAACCAAAATTCATTTAAATGATAAATCTCATTTAAGAAATACACACATATTTTATGCTTTATGATGTAAACTACAGTTGGTACAAGCCAAATGTGCAAACAGATGGGCTTAATAGCTTAATAACTATGGAATGAGCAGGGTTGCTATCAGCCTTTGCAAAGCTGAGCCTGCCTGAGGAGGTGCCTCTGACGTCAGTGTTGCTACATTTAGCATCTCAGCCAAATAAGTTCGGGTTTGTTTTTTGGAAGAAGATGAAGGGAGTTTCCCCATTTCTCTGTAAATATCTACTGGGCAAGAGATCTGGTGAAATGCCTCAAACAAGACTTTTGTAAGACGGGCAATATTTTTGCAAAGGTCAAGGTCCAAAAGGAATAACCTTTGTCTACATTCCCATCATCTGTGTCCATTGAACCACTGTTTCACCCTCTCCACTTTGAGATATGATTGAGTCTTTGATTTGCAAAACAAAACGGAACTTCCAGAAGTAAGACCATCGTCAGGGGCTTCGCAAACCAGATCTGGGAATGACCAAACACGGCCTGGCTTGTCCTGCACTGCAAGTCACGCCCCCTCACTCCATGTAGACTTCTTTTAGGATAAGCAGTTGTCTTCAGTCATGTACACACAGTGCACACCGACTGGTTTGGAATGTGCATACACTGTGGTGTTGAAAATGAGACCTGGGATGGCTGCAGTGTGTGGCCTGAAAGCAGAAGCGTCCGCCGTACTTCCAGCTGCTCATTGCTAATGCATCTCCAGCCGCTTGGCAGTCCAGAGTAACTTGACCTCTCTTTCCCCTCCATCCTCTTTGGGGCCAGTGAGGATTGGTTAGGAAGGCGCCTCCTCCCCTTCCCCTGGCGCCTTAAATGGGCGAGTTGGCTCTCAGCTTGCCCTCTGCCTCCTCTCTGGCAGGAGCGTGCCCTGTGGCTCCCTTCCCAGCCCCTTGCAGGCACATTCCCAGGGGGTGCGGCGAGCATTTGGCTGAGCTCTCCGCTTTTTCCAACCTTGGCCTTGGTCTGCACCCCTGACTGGGCGGGCGGCACAATAAACCCTTGGCTTGCTCATTCTTTCCAGCTCCTGCTGCTTTGCCCTTGTGGAACTGCCTCTTCCCCTGCTCAACATGGAACCCAAAGGCCTAATTTATGTCTGCTGGCTTAAAAAAGAACCAGAGCACAGTGAAATTCTAGCAGTGTCATGGGGCTTTGAGTTTAGTGATAGCCACATTCGGTGGCATATAGTGGGTGCTAATGGCATGCATAGATGGATGGAGAAATTAATTAACATCTCTTCTGGTTTTAAATGATTTTCTACTTAGCTTCTTGGTTTTGGGTCTCCAATGTCTCAGATTCTTTCATTTCACATAGTTAAACACTCAAGTAAACTGTTAATCCACTTTAGGTTTTTTTTTTTTTTTTGCGGTAGTGCACAGTCTGATTTCCAGACTGATAAAATTGATCTGTTCTTCAAGC